TTCCTTTTCCAAAGGGTGCATTCCCAGTTTGAGGGAAGATAAGGAATGTTTGCTGAATGCTCAGGAATTCAGTGTGGCCAAAGTTTGGAGCAGAGGAGCCACAAAGCAAAGAAAGGAAATATCCAGCTGGCTGTGACAAGACCTTACCTGGATTTTCAGGAAAAGCTTGGCAAGGTAAGGCTTTTCAGGGAATTCCTTCCTCAGGAAGAGCATTGCTGCATTTTGAAGACTTTCTGCATTTTGCTGCTTTAATTCTTCCACTAAATAATCATTTCAAGGCATTGAACAGGCAGGGAGAGACATCCTAAACCCATATACTTGAAAAAAGGAATGAACTGAAGTGGTTTGGAAAAGAGGTGGAGCAAGAAAGGGGGGGGGGAAACAGCCAGAATTGAGCATTGGCAGGGACATGTCTCTGACACAAAAGAGCATTTATACTTTCCAAGTGCAGATTTTAACAGGCAAAGAGAGGGAAAGGGAGGCAAGATTTCAATCAAGGACTTCAGGATAAGGTTTCTGCTCTTTAAAAAAAAAAAAAAAAAAAAGTGGATTGTAGGGTTGTTTTGCAGTAAAAACTACATTGCTGAAGTTTTATGCTGCAAGGCTTTGTACAGACAAACAAATCTCACGTCTAAATACACTTGTTGTATTGAAATTGAAGATAAGCCAGGAGAAACGAGGGGGTGTAAAATGACTGTTTACCAGTATATGCAAACAAAGAAAAAAAAATAAAAAAAAATATGATTTGGACATTTTGCCCTGCCCAGGAACAACCCAAACACACGTGTGAGCTGAGACAGAATCATTCCCAGCAGCCTGGCAGGAGCAGAATTTCCCAGATTTCATCACATTCCTGCCATTAAAACCACCCTGCTTTCCAAAGGGAAGTTGAAACACGTTCTGTAGCTGAGAGAAAGTTTAATAGTGGAGCTGCAATGAGGAAAAGTGAAGGAGTCAGGCTGGGAGATCAGGGAACAGTTTGTATCCTGCTTTAATTAAGGAGCCACTTTGCCCTGAAGGGCTGAACCCCAAAGCACAGGGACTTTTCTGCAGGGAAATAAGGGATGAACAGCTTGGAAAAAGCAATGAGAGATGGAAGATGGGAAAGATCTGAGTCAAAAGTATTCCTGAGAGGAACAGAGCATGGGATGAGTCAAGGACTGAGTGCTGAGAAGTCTTAAAATCATGGAATCACAGAATGATTTGGGTTGGAAGGGACCTTAAAGGTGACCTAATTCCAAGCCCCTGCCATGGGAAGGGACATATTCCACTAGCCCAGGTTGCTTGGGCAATTCAAGGGATGGAGCAGCCACAGCTTCTCTGGGCATTTCCTCAAAAAAATCTTTGTCCCAAAAATCCATCCCATGATTTAACTCCTGTTTTATCACACTGAAGAAAAACTCCAGAGAGCCAAGACTTCTCAAAAATTAAAAAAATAGGGAAAGCACGTAAGGAAGAGGCAGAGAAAGGACAGGTAGGAACAGAGATTGGAACTCAGGGAAGTTCAATCCACCCCAGAATATTGCACAAGACCTGGAAGGACACAGTGAATCTTGGTTTTTGGCTGAGAACTGAAGAGAAATCCTAAGGACCACACATTCCTGGATGTGATATCACTGCCAGGCTCCACAAAAAAGGGTGAAGAAGTCTCCATGAGTAAGAGCTGATGCTATTTTAGGCTTTGTTTTGGCAAGTAACAAGGGCATTAAGAAGAGCTGGTGATAAAACATTACCTTGGATTGAGTGCACACAGGCACATTCCTATTAAATTAGGGATAAAAAGAGGTTAAGTGTTGTAAGAGAATCCAAGTTCACTCTTTAACCATGAGAAATTAAATCAAACAGTAAAATCAAGTGGGCTGAGGAGATGAGGGATGGCAAAGCTGCCATCCAAGTCTTTCTCTCAGGTCAAAGATGTAAAGCTATTTGAAAGCTGCGTCCTCAGAACTAACCTCAAAAAGGACATTAGGATCAATTAAAGAGAATGTGTGTTATGGACAGGAAAGGATTGATTAGCAATGGCTTTAAAGCCAGCAAGGGGCAGGGAGACAAAATAAGAAGTGCCAGAAGTCAAGCTGTGCCAGAGCTCAGCAAATGAAAACAAAAGAGCAGGAGATGTTTCAGGTATCCAAGTAAAGGAGACCAGGAGGGAAAGGGAAGAGATCCTGTAAGGAGAGCTTGATAAAACCAAGCTTAACACTGAATTAAGAGGGGAATAAGGACATAAACATGGGTGGAAGGCAAAGTGTGTCACGGGGTTGAGGCTGTAAGAGATACAACCACAGTGGAGACAGAACTCCAATGTTTTGATGGGTTCTAATCCAGGGAAAGCAGAGAGCACCCATCCCATCTCCAAAAGACATGGCACATGGAATAATATCCTCTCTGGAATGAGGCTGTCAAAGCAGTCCAACAGCTGAGCATGGATCTGTGGAACATTTAAAATTTGTATTTTGAGGAGGAGGGAGAATCTAAACATTCATCCTCCCAAGACCTCAAGGGTACACGAAGTTCCTCAAGGAGAACGTTGAATAAAAGAACTTAATGAGCAAATGAAAAATTGGAATGAGGTGCAAACAAAGCACTGGAGGTGCCAACAGTCACCTGTGCTATTCCAGTCCACTGTTTCCTGTCTGGAAGAATTATTTATTGTAAAGACCTAAGAAGTACAGCTGAGCCAATCCCAACTTCATTATGGATATCAATACACTGGGAATTCTTCATTATGGATATCAATACACTGGGAATTCCTGCATGACAGGAAGGTGGTGAAGATCATTTCAAGAATTAGAGTGGTTTAAAGAGGACAGAAGTTAGTTCAAGGATGGCATTTGGACACTGACTGGTACATTCATGTCCTCAGAGAGTTCAGAGGAAGCCCCGCAGATGCTGCCAGGGCTGGAGCCCCTCTGCTCTGGAGCCAGGCTGGGAGAGCTGGGGGGGTTCCCCTGGAGAAGAGAAGGCTTCAGGGAGAGCTGAGAGCCCCTGGCAGGGCCTGAAGGGTCTCCAGGAGAGCTGGAGAGGGACTGGGGACAAGGCATGGAGGGACAGGACACAGGGAATGGCTTCCCAGTGCCAGAGGGCAGGGACAGATGGGATATTGGGAAAGAAATTGTTGGCTGTGAGGGTGGGGAGGCCCTGGCCCAGGTTGCCAAGAGAAGCTGTGGCTGCCCCTGGATCCCTGGAAGTGTCCAAGGCCAGGCTGGCCTTGGTCAGATCCTGATCCCCATGATCAAAACTGTACAAGAGAGACAAACACCTGGAAGCACAGAGGGAAAACAAAGGAAGCAACTGAACCTGAATAACCTGTTCCACAGGAAAAGACCAGGAGGGTTTGTCCTGCTTAGGCCAAAAAACAAACAGGGAAGGTTTCCAGAGGATATGACCTGTCCAAATTCATCCAGGGAAAGCAGGAGTTTGAGCTGCCAAAGGAGGAGGTGGAGGGGACATTTAAGCTCAACAACACTGGCACAGGAAAAGCCAGAAATTCCCTGTCAGTGCAGGTGGATGGAGACTGGAGTAAAGTCAGGAGAGTTTCAGGGAGAGGTCACAGCACTGCTCTGAAACATCTACAAAGTATTACCACAGTTCTGCAGCAAGAACTTTATTTATTACTAAAATAATAAAGTAATAAATCAGGATAAAGTAATAAATCAGGATAAGACTCAGTCCAGCACTGATTATGCAAAATCAACTATCAGTCAAAATAACCTGTAAGTTAAATAAAATATGATTTTTTTTGGATGTCTGTGACTGTGAATTTGATAAAAGAGAAGCTCAAATATTTAAATAAACCACTACAGAAGTGTCAACCTTTCTACACAGATGTTACTTCCACTACTACAAGAGTATTTCAATGAAAATGAAATTTTCATTGAGTATCCAATGACACCAAGGCTTGACCCTGCAGCTCTTGCAAACTCCTCCACATCTAAAAATCAGGACTAAATAAACTAAACAAACTAAGAGTTCAACAATTTGTAAAGTCAAAACTCTCCAGTTGGCAAACTATTACCAAAACTGTAAAAGGCATTAAAAAGAAGCCAAAAGCAGTCCAAAGTGAGCCTCTCCAATCCACGGCCTGCCATCAACAACAAAAAGTTTCCTGAACACTTCAAACCCTCTGTCTTTACCAGAAGGTGATGCAGAAGTTTCACAGGTATTCCTAATGTATTTTTAAAAATTAAGGGAATAACTTGAAAAATGTCATTATAGCTCAAGGAGGGTTTTTTTCCCAGGTGGATCTCATGCCATTGTTCAGTATTATCAGGGAGTGGGAGTTTGTGGGACTGAATGTCAGGAACACCAAGAACTTCAAGGTGAACTCTCAGCTTTCACATCATACTGGGCTGGGCAAGGGTGAAGATGGAAGAATTTGGGTTCCCACGTTTGACCAAACTTCTTAAATAAGAAGTCAGAAATGCCAGGTCTTATTTGAGATCTGTGGATTCCCCATCCCTGGAGGTGTTCCAAGTTGGAAGGGGCTTGGAGCAACCTGGGATAGTGGGAGGTGTCCCTGCCCATGGCAGGGGGTGGCACTGGATGAGCTTTAAGGTCCCTTCCAACCCAAACCATTCCATGATCTCTGTCCCAGACCTGGAAGGATTTTTGTCCTTCAGAGAAGCCCCACATCACTCTGAGCACACAGGCAGCTGATGTTTGCTTTTCCTCTGCCTCCACATTCCAGGTTTGGTTTTTAACTTCATCCCTCTTTCTATTCAACATCAGTAACTCCCCATTCAGAGTCAGACACCTTGTTAAAGCCCTTAAGAACTGAGCATCTCACTTTATTTCCCAGCACATTTTCAGACCCCCTGGGCTGAGGCAGCACCAGAAGACGCCTCACACCTTTTCCCTCTTATCCAGAACATCCAGCTCTGCCTGCTGTGGGATTGCACCGAGGCTGGGGCAGCTTGGACAACTCAAAGCACAGCAAAGTGTCACCAAAAAATAAAAAAAAGGCACTTTTAAAGAATCCCACATAAATGACCAGCTCTTACCTGGATTTTTATGGGCCAGGTGAAGTTGCTGACGTAAACAAAGAAGGTGATGTTGGGGTTGTTGCGGAAATCAAACTTCTCGTTGGAGAAACTGTCCTTGTACTCTTTTATATTGGTTCTGGAAACAACTGGAATTTCCTCCCCTGCCTGTGTGCCAGCTGGTTTAGGAAGGAGCAAGAAAAAAAAGTGTTGATGTGTGTTTAAAATAAAGAACAAAAGGGCAAATCGACCTGAATTCTAATGGTAAAAAATTAACTATTCCTTCAGAAATTACTCTTTTTTAGCTGCACTGCAATATCAAAATCACTGTGTGCCAAAATGCTGCATTATTATAAATCAAAATTGCACCTTCTTAGGTTTCCAAAATGCACTACTAACATGGAAAACATAGGGTTTTTTAAAACATTTCACCTCCTCCTTCAGGCCCAGCATTTAAGGACATTATATATCAAGTACAGAGGTTAAAAAAAAAAAAATGTTTTCCTAATTAAATTTGTATTTGTCAGAAACTGATAACTGAAATGAGCTGCCAAGGAACTCAAATCAGGCTCATTTTACCTGCAAAACTTGTGGACCAAGTGATGTTGAGGTTGAAGTTTTTGGATGCATTGATGAACATGTCCAGGTCTCTGTTTTGCTGCGGGAAGGAAACACAAAAAGAAATCCCCATTTTTAGGATAAGCAGTTTGACTGCATAGTTTCCTAACAAACCTTTGCTACAAAAAGAAATTATCTTGGAATTTGTTATTTACCTGAAGAAAATACATCAAGCAAAAAAACTAAACACTGCATTTGCTGAAAGGAGTGCAAAGAATGGGACAGGAAGAATTGAAACACAAGATCTGGGGTGAAAACAAGCAAAACATCTCAGCTCTGGAGCCAGGCTGGGAGAGCTGGGGGAGTTCCCCTGGAGAAGAGAAGGCTCCAGGGAGAGCTGAGAGCCCCTGGCAGGGCCTGAAGGGGCTCCAGGAGAGCTGGAGAGGGACTTGGGATAAGGGATGGAGGGACAGCACACAGGGAATGGCTTCCCAGTGCCAGAGGGTAGGGATAGATGGGATATTGGGAAGGAATTGTTGTCTGTGAGGGTTGGGAGGCCCTGGCCCAGGTTTCCCAGAGAAGCTGTGGCTGCCCCTGGATCCCTGGAAGTGTCCAAAGCCAGGCTGGAACAACCTGGGCTGGTGGAAGGTGTCCCTGCCCACGGGAACAAGGTGGCCTTTAAAGTCCCTTCCAACCCAAACCATCCCATGATTCCGTAATTCCATAGAACTGGAGAGGCTCAGAAGTTGTTCAAACAACTGGAAAGAATGAACTGTGGATCCTTATGAAATTTTTCCCACGAAAATTTGGGACTGCACAGCCAAGGCCAGGCCATAAAGCTCCGGTTGCTCCGTGGAGGTTGGAAACACCTTCCACGTGACCAGCCTACACCTGGAGACCCCCGGAGCCGTGACAATCCACAGCTTCCACGGCCAGGAGGAGAGAAGAGGGACCCCCAAGGGACGAAGCTGAAAGGGAAAAGTGGAAAATGCACCTCTTCAGGCGTGGCCACAAAGTTGATTGCGGTGTAGTAACGATCGTCCTCCTGGGACAGGCTGAAGGTGAACTGATAGTCGATGAGGAGAGTGTCTGTAAGAAACACAGGGACACGGTTATCCCACCTCCTGGAATAAAACAACTCCTGCAGAGCAAGGCATGATGGCACTGAAGGGATTTTTGGACAACTAGGAGCCACCACGCTGTCAGGAACGACCCCCAGTCTGTGTATGATGCCACACAAGGGACAAAAAACCCTGGAGGGGGAAAGAGGTGGCTCAGATTTGCCAGCCAAGAGCTGCTCTGAATGGAAGCTCATGCCTAAATATTGTAAAAACACACTGTAAAAAATGTGCCAAGATATTGACTTTTCCAGCCTGCAACACCTCCATGTTCTAAAGGGACAGCAGGAAAATTAAAGGGATGTGCAATTCCCACTTGGCAGGGGACAAAGTTCCCCCCACGACAAGTTTCTGTGCATCAGTGGACTTTACTGGGAGGATTTTTACAGAGCAGCTGGTTGTTGATGGATTCAGCTCCCATCTTGCCTGGAATACATCCCACCCAGGCATTCCAGGAGCAGTTTTTGGTCTGCCTGGATGTCCTTCCATGCTCATGTTTGCTTGGGCTGGGGGATAATCAACAGCCAGTTTTGGGGATGCATCTACCAGTCTCAGCATCCTTATTTATGCTGACATTTATTATGACTTGAACACCATATTCTGACTTGTCCACATTCCTGAAGCTGTGCAAGAACATTCCAAGCAATGAGGAATAGGAAATTATACACCAGGTGCTACTTTTCTCTCTCTGCCTCCTGGAGATCCCCTGTGGATAGAGAAAGCCAGACAACCTGATGTCTATCCACAGTGGAGCACCAGGAAATCTTCAAGGAATGAAACCAAGCCAGGCTGGATCTGTACAGCACAAGATTCTTCCTGCAAGAGTTGGAATATTCTGCCTTTTCCCTGTTTTTTTGTCCATTTTACCAACCCTGCAACGAATCTGGTCATCCTTGCACGGAGATTGTCATGAGGAGCCACCAATGCCCTCGTTTGGCCACATGAGGAGAACCCAAATTAGCCAAAACCTGCCCGTTGAGCATTTCTGTGCTGGACAAACCCACTGTTGGTGACTCCATGGAATTCAAGATTCCATCTCTCCACCCCTGCCAGGCTGCTGCTCATTGCTAATATTTGCAAACACAACCTGGAGAGTTTCCACCAAGTAAGTCGAGTCTTGGCAAAGGATCTTCTGGAATTGCACGGGAATCCAACTGTTCCATTCCGAGGAAACGTGGCAGTTCTGAAGCCCGTTTTAACAAGGATCAGAATTTAAAATAAAGAGCATTTTGCACTTATAAAAATTCTTTGGGTTTTATCTATTTGAGAGTGTTCTCCAAAAGACCAGATTTCATCTCAGTCACGTGAGAAACATCCAAAACTTTGTTCAAACAATCCAATCATCACACGGACCTTATCAAGAAAAGCATTTTCATTCTCTTTAAACAATACTTTTCAGAAAAATTAAGCTTTTTTCGAGCTGTTTTTCAGTCCTTCCCTTAATCCCCCATATTTTAAACACAGGCTAAGACAACTGAAACAAAGTATTTTAAACTTCAAGCACATTTTTTATCTGCAAATACAATCCCAGAGGTACTCACAGTAACACGTTCCTTTGAGAGGATTTCCCTGATATCTGTTTTCGACTTCACACCTAAAAAAGAAAACACATTTTTTAATAAATTGGGGTTTTTTTGTTTGTTTTTTTTTGGTAGTTTTATTTATTCCCAGCCACTAAAATATCAGAAAACACAACCTGTGCTGATAACAGCAATGATTAAAGATCAATGCCTGAGCTGTGCTGGGCTCGAAATTCCACGTTCTCTGCGAGTCAAACTTGTACAGAATAAAAAATGAAACACAAAATTCTGGATATCAACCTTTGTATCCACTTGGAAGGTATTTATTAGCTCTTCACAAAGCATGGAACTGGATTAGCTCAGTCAAAAACTAATTCCCATTTACATTTATGGCTATTCCAGGATCTCTCTGACAAAAGTTCGCTCGCGCGAGCGACGCCCTCAAAAATAAACCTGGCAATGAAATCCTTTGGAATTAAATTATTTCCACTAACATTGCACTAAAAGCATTTCTGTTTCGTTACAGAGAAACCTCCAGCAAATTTGTTGCTGTAAAACCGCTCCATTAAACCGCCTGAATGTCAAAGGCTCATTTTCAGGGATATTTACGCTCGCCCAGCCCAGGGAGCACAGGCAGTAAAATCCCCCAATTAAAGAGGAACTACTGAGGGAGAAAAAAATGTGGAGCCAGTCCAGAGGAGGCCCCGGAGATGCTGCCAGGGCTGGAACCCCTCTGCTCTGGAGCCAGGCTGGGAGAGCTGGGGGGGTTCCCCTGGAGAAGAGAAGGCTCCAGGGAGAGCTGAGAGCCCCTGGCAGGGCCTGAAGGGGCTCCAGGAGAGCTGGAGAGGGACTGGGGACAAGGCGTGGAGGGACAGGACACAGGGAATGGCTTCCCACTGCCAGAGGGCAGGGTTAGGATTGTTGTCTGTGATGGTGGGGAGCCCTGCCCCAGGTTGGACAGAGAAGCTGTGGCTGCCCCTGGATCCCTGGAAGTGTCCAAGGTCAGGTCGGAGCAACTTGGGATAGTGGGAGGTGTCCCTGCCCATGGCTCATGGAATGACCCATCTCATGGAATGAGATGATCTTTAAGGTCCCTTCCAACCCAAACCATGCTGTGATTCCATGTACAGTTTGGGGGGTGGGCACTTCACTTTTCCATCCTTTCCGTGTAACATTCCCAGCTGAAACGTTCTTAAAAATGGAATTCTTCAGGATCCTTCCAGACAGCCCCCAGGGGAAGCCCAGCTGGCTGCACCCTCAGAGCAGTCACTGAACCATCAGCAGGGAGAGATGAGCAGAGACACCAGGAACAGCACCAGGAAGAAACAGGGGGGTTCCATGCTGGGAAAAGGGGGGGATTCCATGGTGGGACAGGGGGGTGACTTGGAGGGACAAGGGGGTTCCATGGTGGGACAGGGAGGGTTCCATGGTGGCATAGGGGGGTTCCATGGTGGGACAAGATTGTTTCATGGTGGGACAAGAGGGTTCCATTGTGGGACAAGGGGGTTCCATGGTAGGACAGGGATTGTTCCACGGTGAGACAAGATTGTTTCATGGTGGGACAAGAGGGAGGTTCCTTGGTGGGACAAGATTGTTCTATGGTGGGACAGGGGGGTTCCATTATGAGGCAGAAGGGGTTCCTTGGTGGGACAAGGGGATTCCATGCTGGGACAAGGGGGTTCCTTGGTGGGACAGGGGGGGTTCCATGGTGGGACAGGGAGGAGTTCCATGGTGGGACAAGGGGGTTCCATGCTGGGACAGGGGGTGTTCCACGGTGGGACCAGCACGACTTTCTGATTTCAAACAACAAAGAAACAAACTCACAGCTGACACTCATCTCCTTTTATCCCCTTGGTGGTGCAGAAGCACTTGCCGGTGTTGGTGTTGCAGACGGACGCGTGGCCGTTGCACTTGCAGGCTGTGGAGCAGAGGGGGGAGAAGACACAACACTGAGCCAGGCAAGAGGAACAAACTCGACAGCAATTAAGTCCTTCAGCTGCCAAACTGAGCTACACCAACAATTAACGTGCAGATGAAAACCCATTTGGTGCTCTTTGCTTCCCTTTTGTGCAGCCAAAAATAGAACCCTGCATCAAAACAGAGCGAGCGCAGCCCCAGGACTGATGTTTGTAGGAAATCATCACCTGACTGAGATTTTTAGCCCCAAAAATTTATTTGACTTCCTCTCCCGTTGACACACGGCAGCGGGGATGTCATGACTGGCAAGGGGAACAATGTTTGGAGTAGTTTTGGGCTTGCTAAGACACCTCAGCCAAACTCAGAGCTCTTGAGAGAAGAGTTTGGAAATGAAAACAAAGCTGGTGGGGCTTTTAGGGCCTTTTCTAGAAATAAATAAATAGGAGAAAATAATGTCTCAATAGTCCTATTGAGAAAATAACATCCTTATCAACAGTGTCAGCAGAAAACATCTGGTGCCAAGAAGACGATGTCCACGTTGGAATTTGGGGCACACTCCCCAATATATTTTAGGATAACTTTGAGATGAATGTCGGGGGGTCGTGGTTGAAGAAAATCAGCAGAGTTCTGGACTTCCCTCAGGCTTGGGGCCTGCCCAAAATAGCCCAGTTTATGTAGAGTTAGACCTGAGAGTTTGCTGGAGATCCAACCCAAGGTCCCACGGTGGGGACACACGGGAGATTCGCTTCCCAAAAATGCTCCTGGTTCAAACTAAATGCTCATGTTGACACACTTTGACACCTTTATTCATAAAGGTGGAGAGGAGGAACATAAAAAAAAAAAAAAAAAAAAAAAAAAAAAAA